ATGAGAAGAAACACACAAATAAGGAGTGAACACCCCTTCCTGGAAACCTTTCCCAGCTTTCTGGAGGCAATACTGAATTCTGTTTCCTCTCCTCTTCTCTCTAAATGTTGACTCTTCCACTCCTTCAGGAAACCTCTGGACATGGAAAAACCCAAGTCAACAAATCTATGGTAACCAATATGACCAAGGACATGAGCTGTTACAGTGACTTCCCCTTCCAGGAAGATTATCCCAACTACATGAACCAAGCAAAGATGTTGCGCTCCTATGCTAAGCACTTTGACCTTCTGAAATACATTCACTTGAAGGTAAGAAACCTTAGATGCTTGAGAACTGAAGAAATAGATACTGAGTGAGCTCCTGCCTGAATTTCTCTCCATATGACTGAGAGGCAAGATGGAGAAAAGGGAGGACTGGTCTCTCAGATGTCCAATAGGATTCTCGCTTAAACTGAATCACTCCTGACCTCGCCTTATTAATCCTTTCTTTTCACCTAGGAATCAAGAGTAGATTTCAAATGAGGGCACTTCCCAACACATCCTCTCTTTCTTGATTTTTAAAAATTTGTTTGGCTTAGTAGTATAAAGGACAGAACACAGAATTTGGAGCCAGAGAATGTGGTTTCAAATCCTGACTCGACTACCTTCTGTCCCTGTGACTTTGCACAAGTCACTTGACCTTTCTAGACCTCAGTTTTCTTATCTATAAAAATGAGGGGCTTGGATGAGACATTCCTTAAAGCCCAAAATTGATGATTCTATTTATAATTCCTTTCAATAGATATAAGGTATCTTTGATAGTAAGGAAGAGAAGACGCTTGTGCTAGGGAAATTGCAAAAGATCTCTCCCTTTCCTAGCCTAGATTTTTGAGTACCCTTCCGACTTCCAGACTTCCAAATGCTAGCATATGGAAGAATTAAAATCAGGACTACTGAAATCTGGTAAATTGAGTGACTTTGGATATTTATTTACCTCACCCACTAAGTCACCAGGGTGTGCTAATGAGTAGGGAGGGATTTGTTTGCATTTCCTTTCCTCTGGTATAATGTTCATGAGAGATGTTAGAACTGCAAAAACGCCAGAGACAGGACATCTAGGTGGCTCAGTGGATAGAATATAGGCCCTGGAATCAGGAGGTCCTGAGTTCAAATTCAGATTCAGAGCCTTTCTAGCTGTGTGACTCTGGGCTAGTCCCTTAACCTTGATTGCTTCCAAAAAAGAAAATAAATAAATAAAATACTGAAGACCTCTTTATAAAAGCATACTTGTAAGTGAGAGTGTGCTAGTAATCGTTTAACAACTGACTCTCCATCCAAAAAATAGAAGCAGAATAAACTTTTAAGTTTAATAAGCATTATAGACATTTTCTCCATCATTTTCTTAAGTCTAGATCAGAGGTGAGGAACCTATAGCCTCAAGGTCACATGTTCCCCTCTAGGTCCTTAAGTGCTGCCTTTTGACTGAATCCAAACTTCCCAGAACAAATCCCCTTAATAAAAAGATTTGTTCTGTAACACTTGGACTCAGGCAAAAGGCCACACCCCAGGACCTAGAAGGCCCCATGTGGCCTCTAGGCCACAGGTTCTCTACCTAAGGTCTAGATAATCATCAAAACAATGTCAAGCCCTAATTTGTAGCACTTGCCAATTTCTAAGGTGTAAATGTTAACGCTAAAAATTTAACAATCTGGAGAAGCAGTATGGCCTGCCTCCAGCACTGCCCTGCAATTATTTTTTTTAAGGCATGAGATATTTCCATGTATCTCCCTCTCGCTGTAGCTGTCCTAGTCCATCTTCCCTCCCTGAAACGTTCAAGAGTTTCATGTCCACTGTGACTGGAGAACAGCCGCTGATCTCACATTCAGAGCTTTTTCCCGCGTTGATCCTGCTGTGTAGTGGGTCTGGCCCTGAGCTCTAGATAGGAAGAAGGTCTTCCTGTGCTTCCTCTCAGACGACTGTGCGCGGCGTGACAAAGCGTCCAGACTTCTCTGCCAGTGGGCAGCGGGAAGTGGTGACAGAGGCAAGGGGAAAGCAAGACACTGCTGTCTTTGATGCAGTCATGATCTGCACGGGGTACTACCTGAATCCTCACTTACCTCTAGAATCCTCTCCTGGTGAGTCAGTTAGACTGGGATCTGAGCAGAGGCTATTCTGCCAAGCTTTTCTAGGTAAAAGCATTTCATTCACCAATGAGAGCATTTTGTCCTTTGTCATAAGCAACTTCAGAGACATCAAATGCCAGCTGTCAAGGCACATGTGCCCAAAACGCTGCCTGACCCGGATTAAAATGTAAAATTGGGAAATATTTTATACAATAGAACATATATAATGTTAATATGTGGTTTTCTAGTCAATATGCAGTGGAAGGGATTCTTAGGTATGGTTTACTGACCTGTTTCTTTTTAACACCACTGATCAAATCCAACACAAACTGGAGGCAAAATGTACCTGTAAGGGCTTGCAAAAGTATCAGTTGTTATTAAAATGTAAAGCACTTCTGGTGGTCATCATCATCTTTGGGTTGTAGGAGTAATAACAACATTGATGATTCAGAAGCTTTGAATCCCTCTTACTCCCAGTGCACTTGTCAATCATGGTGGACATCTTTAGCCAAACAGACCAGGTAGAAGAGGGCAGTTCTCTATGGAAATAATTCTCAGTCACTCTGTATGTACCATGGTTGTGTGGGTAAAATTATTAATTATTGAATTGCAGGAAAATGTATTATTTCATTGTTTGAGTCTAGCCTTGCCTGGCAAGAAACCGGTCTTGTATTGCTTAGAGATCAAAGTAGTTTACTGCTTAACTTAGGACACCAGGTCATGCCAACCCCAGAAAACATCAAGTGATCCAAAGACTGATGCTTGAAATTTCCAGTTTCCCAAGAAATATATTTTAATTATTCTAAGTGAAACTTAATCTATGTGCATTATTTAGAAACATTATGTCAACCAATCAGATGTCTGTCTCCTTGCTTTAAATCTATACTACAAAAGGCAGTGTGGCCAAGTAGCTAGGCGTGGAGTCAGGAAGACCTGGGTTCAAATTCTGCTTCCAATGCTTGTTAGCTGTGTGACTATTAGCAAATCACTTACCTATCTGAGTCTTCGTTTCCTTATCCGTAAAATAGCAATTATAATAATACCTGTGGTACCTATGTCATGGAGTTGTTATGAAGCTCTAATTAGATAATGTATCTAAAGTGTTTTGCACATGTTTAAGTGTTTTATAAGTAAAAGAAAGGCAGTATGGGGTAATGGATAGAGTGCTGAATGTGGAATCGGGAAGACCCGTCTTTGACTCCTGCCTCAGATGCATTGGCTGAACGATGAGGCAAGTCACTTAAACTCTGGGGCCCTCTGTTTCCTTATCTGCCTACCTCACAGAGCTGTCATGAAGATAAAAAGAGATAATGGATATAAAGTGCTTTGCAAACCTGAAGGCACTATGCAGTTGTGAATTATAATTATTACACCATGGCAACGGTAAGTTAGATTAATAATTTTCTTTTTGGAGCTATTAAAGAAAGGTTCTCCAAATTCTTTCTCTGAGAATTCCTCTTTGGCCCACAAAGCCCTACAAACAGTTAACAATGCCTTTACAAGTATACAAAATTAGTTTACTAATTTTGAATGTTGTCCCTTTCCTATATAGGCAACGTGTGGACTATTTCTCCTCTTCGCCTAGGAATAACAGGCAATAATGCCAGGCAACATCTGCACAACATCAGCAGAGTCTTTTAAAATTTGTCAGGTTTTTTTTTTTTTTTAATCAGCTTAGGCAAGAGACCGGGGGGGGGGGGGGGGGCGTGAGGGAATGTTGGGGGAAGGACAGGGAGCTGTCCTTGGAGTCAGGAAAACTGATATTCAAGCCTTGCCTCTAACACACAATAACTGTAAGACTGGAAAAAACATTTAATCTTTCAGGACCCAGGTAAGAATTTAATATCATTAAATGGCAGCTTTGACAACTTGCACCAGTATAGAGAGTTTCCACAAAGGAGAGTTCTAGATCAGAGGAGAGAGATCTGGACCGAGAGGAAAAAAAAAAATGTAATCATATGTCCTTTGACTAATTCTATAAATTTAATCCAATTGCACACTACGGCTTATTTTTTTTCCTCACTTAAGTAACCAGTTGTTTTGAATATACTGAATAAAGAGGTTGTTTAGTAATACCATCGAATGGTTCATCATGTCTAACAGAGAACTGTTTTGTTCCTCCATTTGCTTCCACTGATATAGTTCCTAAGCACTCCACCCTTGGTTAAACCCCACCTTCTGATTTTCCCACAGGAATCAAAAAATTTCAAGGACAGATCCTACACAGTCAGGAATATAGGAGTCCAGAAGGTTTTCAGGGTAAACGGGTCATTGTGATTGATCTTGGGAATACTGGCAGTGATATTGCAGTGGAACTCAGTCATGTGGCATCTCAGGTACACTGACCTCTCTATAAGCCCTCTGACTCTCATTTTTCCCATAATTCTTTGCTTTGAGATTGTGAAACATACAAGGTAATCATAATTTAAGATGAATACACAGTGACATAAACCCTGGAATTTCTCAAAGGCACTCCTAGCTCTTAGCTTTCTGAATCATGGCAAGTCTCCACTTGACGAATGAGCATGTCTCCAAGGATCGTGTTAGAAAAATGCTATTGATACCTGACCATTAGGTACTTTCCAGAGAAAGCTATTTCTTGCTACTCTCTCATTCCCAAACAGGCAAAGGATCAGAAATTTAGATTGCCCTATGGACCTAAAGGCAAATGTCAAAAGATCTGAGTTCAACTCTCAGCTTTGCTACTAATAAGATATTAGGATTTTAAAGTAAGAGCTCATCCATCTAATCCTATCATTTTGCAGATAAGAAGACAGAATCTCAGAAAGGTTAAGTAATTTGTCTGGCAAAGCCAGAATTCTATTCAGGTATTCTGGCTCTAATTACTGTATTTTTTTTTCATTTCACAACTTCATTTCAAAGCAACAAATGTGAAGAGGGAAATCAAAGTGAGAAGATTGGCCTAAATTGTTTCTAAAATCATTTCTAGCTCTAAATACGATGATCCAAGCTCTGAATCTATAATCATATGATACATATAGACATAAAGAAACTTATAAACACATAGATAAATTCTGATGTAGTTCTATTAAATATCTTCCCAAATCTTCATTTTATTAATAATAAATTACAAATAAATAACAAATTTTCATTTGTAAAGTGCTTTAAGATTTACAAAAAGAGATTAAGTGCCACACCTATGCTCACGCTGCTAATAGGTAGCAGGACCTAAAATCAAATCCATGTCCTTCAATTCCAAGTTCAAACAATATTTCCACTACACCATACTATATTTCAGAACTCTTGAGGATAAAAGGTAGAAATGCTAATACTACCTACCTTAAAAGTTACATTTACTTTTATGATACTAGACCAAAATATTTTTTTAATATAGGAGGATGAAGAGGGAGAAATGGTATAGGATAAAGTATTTTCAATTATTTCTTTTCTAGAAATCAGAAAAAAATGTGTTGGACAGAAATCTGCTGGTAGATATTTAACAACCAGCTCTCCAGAGGCGACAATGTATGCAGGACACATTTTTAAGTTTAATCTTCATTGTTAACATTTTCTCCATCACTTTCTCAAGTATAAACAATCAATAAAACAACAAACAAAGCCCTGACTTGTTAGTAGTTACTTATTAGTAGCATTTGCCTATTTCTGAGGTATAAATGTTAACAATGAAAATTTAACAATCAGTTCTCTCCAGCTGGTACCAGTTGGCTCTAACATAGCTCTGGATACAGACTTTGTTTTCATTGATATAGGCAATTCCTAGATGAGGAAACTCTCCCTATCAATTCAGGGTCAGCTTCTTCTATGTTACTTCAAGTCTTTTAGAATGCTAAGAAGTTAGGTGACTTGCCCAGGGTTGCACAGCCAATATATGTTATAGGCAGAACTTGAGCCTGGATCTTCTTGGCTCCAGCACCAGTTCTCTGTTCTCTATGCCTTGGCTGCCTCTTGTCCAATAAATATTATTTGTAAAATAACAGTGAGAGGAGCAGCTAGGTGGCACAGGGGATACAGCACTGGGCCTGGAGTCAAGAGGACCTAATTTAAATCTGGCCTAAGACACTTTCTAGCTGTGTGACCTGTGTGCCTCCAAATAATAATAATAACAATAATGATAATAATAATAATAACAATGGAGAGAAGTTTAGGAACTCATTTGTTCACCTGTGCATCAGTCTTTCGATTCTACTCCTTTAATCATTTCAAAATGTACCTGAATTTGCATCATTCATAGATGCTGCCGAGAAGACACTTTAGAGATCATCTAGTCCAACCCACTTTGAGTTCAGATGAGGACGAGGAAACTGAAGCTCAATGATGAGGAATGATTTACCCAAGATTACACAGTCAGTAAATAGCCATAGTAGGGTTTTGAACCCAGGTACTCTGACTTCAATATGTATGAAAATTGCACTGTATGAAATTACCTCTCACTTGAGGAAATTTCCATGTGTTTCACTTCTAAGACATTAAAGCTCTCAAAGACAAAACTATTGTATGGATTGTATAGGAAGAAGTAATATAAAATGACTAAAACTTTACCCATCATGCCTTACCATTTAGGTGTTTCTCAGTACTAGAAGTGGTGCCTGAATCCTTAGCCGTCTTTCTAAAGATGGCAACCCCACTTTGACGATCTTCATAAGAAGATTTCATCTAATGGTTTCATCCATGCTGCCTTCATCCATGAAAAACTGTATGACGATGAAACAAATTTCAAAATGGTTTAACCACAAGAATTATGGATTGGGTATTCCTAAGAGGTAATCATTTTAAAATGGAAATATTTACTTGCAGAAATTTTTTAATATCATGACATTATAGCAAGTTAAAATGCAATATTTTCATCATGTTACTATAATTATGTTGATCAAAAATATTTGGAATTAAGGATTTTTAAGGATCAAAAATTTAAAAAGGCTAATTGGAGAGTTTGGAAGGATACCTGACAGGAGACTGACTGTTGGCTTCATATCAAGTTGGAGAATCAAGGAATCTAAATTTTCTTTGAAAAGTCCTAAGATAGATTGACTCTAGAAGTAAAATATGTATGGTACCAGTGAACTCAAAGATTCACATATCCCTTGTTGATTAACAAGTATCAAATACCAAATAACAAGAATCAAATATTATTAGGGAGGCAATTTGGTACAGAATTAGCATCATACAAGGTACTGACTCTGGAGTAAAAAGATGAATGTTCAATTCCTGACTTCAATGTTTAACCTTAACCCCTGGGCCTTGATTTCTTCATTTATAAAATGAGGGAATTAAGCTTTTACATTAAGGGACTGGAGGGGTTGGAATATAATAATCTGGAGGTCAAAGGAGATAGGATTAAAACCAAGAATCACCTACCCAGCAAAACTGAGTATAATCCTTCAGGGGGAAAAATGGACATTAAGTGAAATAGAGGACTTTCAAGCATTCTTGATAAAAAAGACCAGAGCTGAAAAGAAAATCTGACTTTCAAATGCAACACTCAAGAGAAGCATGAAAGGGTAAACAGGAAATAGAAATCATAAGAGACTTATTAAAGTTAATCTGTTTACATTAAAAAAAATGAGGGAATTAGACTAGATGGCCTCTGGGGTCTTTTACAGCTCTACATCTACAAGTCTATAAATAGAACTAAATAAAGGGGGTATGAATTTCTAGGAAGAATAACATGTACTGTCTAGCTAAACAGCCAACTACTTGTAATAAGCTCTATGTCACCCAACTGAGAATGTCATCAAAGGAAATGGGAACATTTTAAAGAATGACTTTTATTACAACCTCTATCTACTTCTTCACTCCCACTCCCCTGGAAACCTCATCTCCAAAATCATAGTGGAAATAAATGGAAAAACATGATTCAATATACAATTTTTCCAAGAATAGAATGATTTCAAAGTAAATCAGTCATATGGGTGGATATCATTATCAATCAGTTGCTTTGAAATGTGTAGTACAAAGGATGAAAGTGCACTTTTCATTTTTCTATAAATGATTTCATTTCATAGCCAGTTTTCCTTTAGACTTAGTTTACTTCCATTAAGACTCTACTTCTGCCTGGCTTTGGTTTTATCTTAAGGACCTGAACAGATATTCAGTTAGCTTATCCTTGGAAAGAGGTTATAAAGTCTCTTTCAGAAATGTACAATTATCCCTTCCACATGTCAAGGGTTAGGGGTTTGGTGTCCCAGTGATCTGGAAAATCCATGTAAAATTTTTGGCCCTCCCTTCATACCAGAGGAGAAGTCTCAATTTTTTCTGTCTTTGATGGGGTGTTTATAGTATCTTGTAAAATTTGGGTTAAATATTTGGTCATAGGCTCTGTGTTGTCTGTTGACCTTCACATGTCATCTGCAGCTTCCACAAAACTGCCAAAAAATGCCCATTTAATTTCTTATGCCAACTTGCAAAACTGTGATGGGGAAAGTCATGAGGTGGAAGGGATGACTATTCCTAGAGAGGAATTTTGTTTCTAAATACATAATGAACAAATTTCTAGGGGTTTACTGTTGGAAGTAGGAAGAGAAAGGTTAGAAACATTCATCTTAAGCCTATGGAAAGTTACTGGATGAACTATTTTGACTAAATAGAGTAATGCATTCATACAAATAAGTAATTTAACATAAATTTCCATAGATCAGTTAGGTATTTTCATCTCATCTAGTGCTTAGCACAGTTGTCCAGGGCTTAGCATAGTGCCTGGCATATAGTAGGTGCTTAATAACTGTTTATTGATTGATCAATTGATCTACATACAAAATCAATGAGTGGGCTTTTTTCATTTCTTTGTTTCCATACCAAAGGCAAATACAAAGCTTGATTGTAAATGATGAACTGTATCCTTTGTGGTACCATCACTGTTAAGGCCAATGTGAAAGAGTTTACAGAAACCTCTGCCATCTTTGAAGATGGGACAGTGGAAGATGACATTGATGCAGTGATTTTTGCTACAGGATTCACATTCTCTTTTCCTTTCCTTGAAGAACCTACAAGAAGTCTGTGGGGGAAAAAAATCTACCTATACAAATATGTGTTTCCTTCAAACCTGGAAAAGCCAACAATGGCTGTTAAGGGCCATATCAGCCTTAAAGGAGCCTTCTTGCCAGGTGCAGAACTCCAGGGAAGATGGGCCACAAGAGTCTTTAAGGGTAAAGATATTCCTTTAGGATTAAAAAACTTTTTAAAAATTATCTAATTCTGCCTGGTTGTTACCGCTTCCCTACCTAAAATCAAACAAAATTTTTTGTCCAAAAATATATAGAATCTTTACAGCAATAGGGCTATGGGCAAGTGAAACTTTTTTTTTCCTTTTTTTTTTTTTTAAAAAAAAAGTCCTCAAAAAAGCTTTCAAGCAATATGACCTTTCTGTAGATCATTATCTTGGGCAAACTTTGTGTTGGTGTAAACTAGATAAAATTGAAAAGTTTTAAAGGATTTTTGGATCCTATGTGATACATGGGTCTGAGAAGTGAGGTACGTATGGTGTCTGTGACTATAGAGATGAGACCTTACTTTGGTCCATATTCAAATTTTTCAAGTTGATTCAAAATTTGGGAGGCTTACGCAGTCTTTCAAACAAGGCAGTTCTGACTGTTTTTAGAAAGAGGCAGAGTGGGGGTCAGCTAGGTGGCACAGTGGATAGAGCACTGGCCCTAAAGTCAGGAGGACCTGAGTTCAAATCTGGCCTCAGACCAAACACTTGACACTTGCTAGCTGTGTGACCCTGGGCAAGTTACTTAACCCCAATTGCCTAAAAAAAAGAAAAAGAAAAAGAAAAAGGCAGAGTGGTACAGTGAGAAGAATGCTGGATGTGGAATCAAAGAAATTGATTCGTATCTCAGCTCTGTTATTTAACATAGAATCATAGATTTAGAGTTGAAAGGGAACTTAAAGTAACAAAATCCAATCCCCACATTTTACAAATGAAGAAACTGAGACCCAGAGAACTAAAATTACTTGCCCAGGGTCACACATCTACAAAGTGTCTGAGGTGGTATTTGAAACCAGGTCTTCCTGATTTCAAGTCCAGCCTGTATCTATGCATGCCACTCTTGCATGAACTGGAGTAAATCACTTCATCTCATTAGGCTTTAGCTTTGTCAGCTGTCTAACAAAAGAACTGGACTAGATGATCTTAAAGGTCCCTTCCATCTCTAAATCTCTGACCCTATGGTTTTATATTATCTCCAATAGATTGGTGTGATGTCCTTATACTTGGTCAAGATCAAGGTTCATAGCAGCAATGAGGGTCAGACTGGGATGAGTGGAATATGGAGACTAGACAAAGACAGTGTAGGGCAGGTAAACAAAGAAGGTCCCAACAGCAGGTACTAGAAGGAAGTTTGGGCAGGTGGTTGGGGTTTCACAAAAGGGCAGGGGTTTCTTATATTTTCTTCTTTTTTATTAATTTGTTTTGATTTATCAACAATCACTTCCATAAGCTTTTGAGTTTTAAATTTTTCTTCCCCTCCCTCCCCACCTCCTTTCCCAAGACAGTGTGCAATCTGATATATGCTATACATATACATTCCTATTAAACGTATTTTCACATTAGTGATGTTGTAAGGAAGAATTAGAACCAATAGGAGGAACCACAAGAAAGAGAAAACAAAACAAAACAGAAGAAAAAAATAGCAAACAGTACACTTTGATCTGCATTCAAAAAAAAAGGGCAGTTTTAAATGGAAAGTTGGGCAAAGTGATGTTAAGTGTGAGGGGATAGCTAATGGTTATCAACAAGAGATTGTCTTGGCAGGGGAGGGCAGGCAAATAAGTTGCATCAAGGCATTTCTGTTAGCAAATAACAGACATCCAGCCATAGGGACTGAGGTAACAGGCAAGGGTACCAGACAAAGTTGACTAGATAGCCCGTCATCCTGAAAGAGAATCTTCAGTACCAGACAAGGACCAAGTACTAGGAAGACAAAGGAGATTGATCATGATTGTGCTGTGAAATTAGGGTCACAAAAAGTCACAAGACCAGTTTCTGGGATCATCTGATTTGCCTCTTAAAATAATTGTATTTAGCATGGGAAAAGTAAATTGGCTTTGGAATCATAGTTTGATTTCAAATACTGCCTCTGATGTGTATTTAATCTTGTGACAAGTGTTATAACCTGCCTGAGTGCCAGTTTTCTCATCAGTAAAATGAGGAGGTTAGATTAGATCCCTTTTAAGGTCCTTTCTAGCCTTAAATCCATGACATTGTTCTACAATCAATTTTAACTGTTGTTTAAACTTCAGGGATAACAGTTGAGTGGCTCAAGTCTTGCACTGATATCTAAGAAATATTGAAACCTGAAGGTTTTTAGTGCTCTGGCTAAATTTCTCTTACTGAGAATTTATACAAAAACATGGGGAAGAGTCACCTAGGATGAGAAAACATGGGCGGGTTGTGATCTCCACTGGTAAAAGGAGTGCCCACATGAATGAGATTACTGATTCATTGAAGTATTCAAGTCTAGTAGCTTTAGCAGACATGTTCTGGACAATTGTCTACAATTAAGGAAAAACTATGGATTTTATTTCTGTCACAGGGCTATGCAAGATACCTCCAACAAATCAATTGATGGCAGAGGCTACCAAGAAGAAGCAGCTTGTTAAAAAGTATGAAATATTCCTCACCGCAGAGACAAGCAAGTGAAGATTCTCTTCACAAAATAAATTTTGCATATCAAAGTATTTCCATGACCCATAAATAGAAAAGATGATCTTAATATAAAAATAGTTTTATGTACACTTATCTATTTGTGTTTTATTTCATGCAAACCTATAAATTCTCTGAGGTCAAGGATCCTCTCTTAAATAAATTTTATAGTTTCCCAGCCTAGTAGAAGACTTTGCATCTAGTTGGTCCTTAGTGTTTGTTATGTACTGTTAGATCTAGGTACAAGACATATTGCCAGTAATCCTGTGTAAATTCCTAAACCCATTGCCACAGAAGACCTAGTGATAAACTTCCAAATAATTGAACTATCCAAAAGTAGAATGGGCTTTCATGGGAGAAAGAGGAAGGAAAGGCAAGGGAACAAACATTTATTAAGCACTACTGTGTACCAGACACTATACAAAGTGCTTTGGAATCTTGGCTCTTGGAGGAAAATGGCATTCCCCAAGATCTATACTTTTTAACATTTTCATCAATGACTCAATCCAGGCATAGGTGACATACTTGTCCCACTTAATAGACATAAAAGGAAATTCTTAACTTAGGTTCAAATATTTAGCTTCTAAACTATGAGATAAGCAAGGCATGTTAAAATATTAGTTCATCTTAGAAAAATATCTAGAAGTTTTAGAGGCCTTTAAGCTCATTATAGAGGCAACTAGGTGGTGCAGTAGATAGAGCGCCAGGCCTGGACTCAGGAAGAGCTGAGTTCAAATCTGGCCTCAGACACTTACTAGTCATATGACCCCAGGCAAGTCATTTAAGCCAGTTTGCCTCAGTTTCCTCATTTGTAAAATGAGCTGGAGAAATAGCAAGCCACTCTAGTACCTTTGCCAAGCAAACCACAAATGGAGTCACAGAGTCTACGTGACTGAAATGGCTAAACAACAACATCAAAGCTCATTATAAGAATGTCTTCAAAGGAAGAATAAGCATACTCTGGGGGACAGACTTTCCACTTTTCTAGGTCATTATGAGCTGCCAGGGTGTTATGTCAGTAGCATGGGCTCTCAGAGTGCCCAAGCCTAGAGAGGCCCTAGTTAAAGCATACTTGGAGCATTGTATTTGGTCCTGGCCAACATATTTTAGATAAGACATGGATAAAGCAGAGAATAGCCAGAAAACAACATCCGAGGATAAAGGCCACAAGATTGTGCATATGAGTTTCACTTGAAGGTGCTGGGGATATTTAGCCTTAGGAAGAGATCTAGAGGGAAAGTAAATGGTGATTTAACTTATAAAACTATGAGATGAGGACAGGCATGCTTGTTCTTTGAATATCTGCCAGGAAAGACCATGATGGCAGCAAGAAGTGAGGCTGCAATCACACTTTAATAAAGCACAGAGAGTATAGGGGAAAAGAGCACAGAAAGTACAGAGACAAGTAGCAGAAGGGGGATACAGAGGCAGAAGGTGTGAGGATGAGGATAGGGTGGTGGAGAAAGGCTGGCAGAGCTGGGGAAGAGGATAGGGAAAGAAAAGGCATAAAAAATCACTCACATCACTATGAATTAGAGTTGGGAGCACTCAGCAGTATGGACCCCATGGAGAGGGAAAGAAGATGGAGGAGCAGAAGTTTGAAGTCTCATTTTTATAGGGTTTTTGTGGGGGAAGAGACTAACTCTTATCTGAGTCACCTTGGGTTATTCATTAACATATCCACATTATATCAAGTGTTCAGTATAACTTTTAAAGTTAACATGTCTACATCATCCCAAAATTATCAGCACTATTTGGTGGTCTACTAATCTTAGAGCTTATCTGAGATTTGCATAACATAGGACCAAAGCATCCCAAACAACAAGGACAAGATGGCTTCCCTTCATTAAGTATATAGTACCAGGATGTGATTTTTGGTAAATGTAGGATACAGTTTGCAAATTATCATCCTTTGATCTTTGAGACAGTCTGTACCTGACTTCTAGGTTCCCCTTAACAGTCTTACTTCCTAGTATTGCTAGTTTATATTGGCTACTCATAAACTATACTGACTGGGGGTGGGTGGTCAAGAGGACCAAGATACAATTTTAACACTGAAAGTGATAGCTGTTTTTAAGTATTTGAAGGGCTGTGATAGAGGAAAAGGATTAGATTGGCCCCAGAAGAGAGAACTAGGTACTATGGGTAGGAGTCACAGAAAGGCAAATTTTATATAAAAATAAGCAAAATAAGTTTATTATAAGGGGAAAACTTCCTACTATTTATAGCTATCCAAGAGTAGAATGGGCTTCCATAGGAGGAAAGTAAAGGAAAGGGAACATGCATTTTTAAAGCACCTACTATGCGTCAGGCACCATGCAAAGTGCTTCATACATATAATTTCATTTGCTCCTTCAAAAACCCTGTGAAGTAGGGACTATTATCATCCCCATTTTATGGTTAAGGAAATTGAGGCAAACAGATATTAAGTGACTTGCCCAGAGCCACACAGCTAGTAAATATCTAAGGCCAAATTTGTGCTCAGGTCTTCCTGACTCCATGCCCACCTCTCTATCCGCTTCACTACCTAGCCACCTTGGTTCTCTTCTTTGGAGGTCATCAAGAAAAGGCTGGATGTTGTTGTTGTTGTTGTGGTGGTTGTTGTTTGCCCTTTGTTCTCTAAAAGGACCAATGATATCACAAGGGTGATGACTTGCACATGAATTGGATGTAAGTGAGGCAGAGCTGCATCAAAATCCTGTGGCGAGACAAAGGTCAAGATGGCCCAGAGTGAGTGACCTTGGCTTTTCTAAATTAAGGTCTTTCCCAAATCTCAGCTTGTCTGAGTCCATGCCCATTCAATGACTAAAGGCTAGGTAAGAACTGAGACAAAAGATGACCCAATTTGCCAGCACAAAGACATAAATCTGCTAGAGGAAGATCCTCAGAGTTTCTGGCCAGAACAGAAATCAGATGCTATTTACATTCATTCTAAGCCATCAAAACCTAAACAAAGAGCCACAGAGGTTTGATTTAGGGCTATCACTGGCCACTCAATGAAAGAGTGATCTGGGTTTAAGGGCATAATCTAGTAGCTCCATTTAAAACACATGGCCTCTTTTAAAGCCTGTTTTTTCAGAACTATAGTTCAAGAAATCAAAAATGAAAACTGTTCAGGACAAAAAGTAAGTTGTCCCAGCTTTTCAGAAAAAAAAAAAGAAGGAGGAGGAGGAGAAGGTGAAGAAGAGGAAGATGAAGAAGGGGAAGGAGGAGGAAATAGCAGCATTTCCCAACTTCTGTTCAAATTGGCAGGTTGGGTCCCCAGAGAGTAGCTGCTACTGTTCTCAGATGACACAGCAAAAACTGTTAATACAAACCTTCTCCTAAGAACCTGGTTCACTCCTTCCCACAAATGCACACAATATCCATGAGGAAGTAAGTTTAAACTTAGACCATAATAGTAATGAGGCACATATGTAAGAAACGTGTGTGATGAGGTTTAACTCCTATCACATGCTCTGGAAGCCTGTGTGTGTGTGTGTGTGTGTGTGTGTGTGTGGAGACTTCATGCAGAACCTTTCTTGTTGTTGCTATTGCTGTTCCTTCATTCTCCAAGAGCACCAATGACTACTTGTAAGGCAGAATGTAGATTCCTTAAAGGCAGAAACTGTTCTTCATTTTGGCTTTGTTCAAATCGCATACCTAACATTCTGGCTCTGTGACCCTCAACAAATCATTTAATTTCTCAGTAATCTAGGCAACTCTCCAGCAGATATAGAGAAGATGTATACATAAATTGATAGAGGGAGTTTCCCTATCTAGGCATTTTCTATGTCTGTGAAATCACTGGACTTTCCCCTGTTCAGTATCTCTATTCACACTATATATACATAGTGCCTTGAGCTTCATAACTGTTTTAAAAATACTTGTTCAATAGATTGTTATGTTGTAGCAAGGATTCTTTTGAATGTATGAGTTGAATTAAAGGGTTGCTGAGTTCCATTGTAACACCTAAATCCTGTATTTTATAAGGAAACTGATTCTAAAATTAAGATCCATTCCATTTTCTAAATTCTTTGGTTACTTCTGGTTTTTATAGAAAAAACTAGCAAGATCAGAACTAACATTTTTGTTATCAACACAAATTCATGATTTATTTTAAATGAAAAGAAAAGCAGTATTTGGAATCCAAAAACACCCACCAAACCCACACTTTAGATTTTCTAGGAAGTTTCTGAGCATACATAGGTTTATGTTTATAGGAAGGACCAGTTTCTAGTTCGTGTTTACAGTGATCAGACTTTCCCTTCATACTGAATTCAGATTCCTAAACCAACACTTAAAACTGCTCCACTAATTTTACCTCTTTGCCATTTTTTCTTCTATACTCTACCTGTCCCCATTTCTCAAAATAAATATTTCTTCTTGCCCTCTCTGACAAAACAAACCAACTTATCTATTCTCGCCCAAGAAAAACATCCCTTTCATGTTTTGGTTCTTGAAATTTTGTGAAAAGGGAGATGAGAAGTTTGGGGAAGAACTGAGCAATGACAAAAGATTTACCATTTTCCTTCTTTTCACTAAGGGGCATCATTATGAATCCCATCAAAGAAACACTGGAATATATCACCTTCATGGATGAACTTGCTATATGCATAGGAGCAAAGCCCAGCATTTTATCACTGTTCCTTAAGGATCCCACGCTGGGAAAGGAAATTTTCTTTGGTCCCTGCACCTCTTACCAGTACCGACTGATGGCACCTGGGAAATGGGATAGAGCCAGAAATGCCATCTTGACTCAATGGGACCGAACCCTTAAATCCTCACAAACTCGAATTGTTGCTGATGTTTCTGAGCCTAGTACTGTGCCTCATTGGCTAAAAATCTGTGGTGGGACATCTGTGCTATTTTTTGCTGTTCTGCTTGCTTATAAATCTTCATTTCATGTAAAATTGGCTAGAGTTAGTGAACTGGGGAATAGACTTTCCACCTACCTAGTCAGTCACTGGCAAGCGTGAATAACCTCCTTGCAACAAGAACTCCCTCCCACCTCCTTT